TGTATGGATATTATCCTGTCACTGACAATATTGTACTTCATGATGGATCTAGCAATGACTTTTTAAAGTATGAAAGCAACTCCATTTTTCCTCACCTTTTCATCTCTGAGTAATATATCATATGATCATCCGACTCAAAATGCCCATGCCAGTCCATCTCATCTCCCCAATGCCTAGTATTTCAATATTTATACATTCCATTTCTTCCTTAACAATATCTAATTTTCCTACATTCATGGTTCTCACATTCCATGTCCCAATCAGTAGTGTCTGCTTACAGCTGTTCCTCTTCCTTTGTATTTCCATATCTGAAAGCTCAACCTCAGTTGCACTTTCTGTTATCTACATATATTCTGTTATGAAAATCCAATTTTTCTGCTTGCTGTTGTTTTTATGTGCCATCAAGTCGCTTGTGATTAATAGTGACCCTACGTAAAAGAGCTCTAAATGCCATTCTATCCTGTGCCAACCTAGCCATTCCAAACGCACTCATTCCCACCACTCCAGTCACAGAATCAATCCATCTCATTGAAGGTCTTCCTCTCCTTCACCACCCATCCACTCTGCCAAACATGATGTTCCTTTTCAAGGACCAGTCCCTCCTTGCAACGTGCCTAAAGTATGTCAGAAAAAGCTTCAGAATCATTGACTTCAAGGAGCATTCCGGCTTCACCTTCTCCAGGACAAACCTGTTTGTTCTAGCAGTCCACGGTATATTCAACACTCTTCTCCAGCACCACAGCTCAAAGGCATCAATTATCTTTCTATCACCCCTATTCACTGTCTAAGTTTCTGATGCATAGCACGTAATTGTGAAGACTATAGCCTGGATCAGGCACACCTTAGTCTCTAGCCTGACATCATTGCTCTTCAGTACTCTTGAGAGGTCCTTCACAGCTAATTTTCCCAATGCAATTCATCTCTTGATTTCCTGGCTGCTGTCACCAAGAGTATTGATTGTGGAGCCAAGTAAACGAAAACTGTTAACTATCTCAATCTTTTCACCATCCATACTGATGCTGTCAATTGGCCCAGTGGTGAGAATCTTTGTTTTCTTGATGTTGAGCTTCAATCCATATAGGAGACTGCAGTCCTTGACCTTCTGCAGCAAGCGCTTC